CAGCTGGGGAAATATGGAGAGAGGGGAAGAGAACGAGGTGGAAGATGATGCCCTGGACATTGGATCTTGATCCTACGGTTCACATGAAGTCGCCTGACACTTCAAATTTTTCCAGCCGACTAATAAGTAGCCACTCCCAAAATCAATTTTCACTATGGAGCGGGACGGACCGGGCGCCGCTCTGCACCCCTAGACGTGAACTTCTCTCGTTCTGCAGCGCATGGTGAGCCGTCAAAGCTATCCGCGTTAGCCATCTTGGCAACTTCATGTTCATCCCATCCGGAAATTCTCAGGACACGCAGGCGCAGGGCACACACCTGCAAAGTAGTTGAATATTAAAAATATGATTTTGCATCTGAAACTTGCAATTTTTTTGGTCACTTGTACTAAGTTTCAGAGTCGAAACTTTAAGGATCTTCTTTTCACAAAAGTTGTGATTTTACCGGTCGCTCGTACAAAGTTTCAAAGGTTGAAACTTAAATGATTTTTTTGAAACTCCTCCAAACGTATTCAAAATAAATCTTATTTGAAAACCCTCGTCATGAGAAACACGAATATAGAAACATAATTTAGTTTGGACTTTCCGTTCACAAGTTATGAAAAAATGAAAATCAAAAGCTAAAAGAAGCGAGGGAATCGGTGCTCTCTCACCCGCGTGCCACAAATCCTCTCCCTCACCCCACCCCTCTTGTCCCCAATTTGTCTCGTAGGTGAGAGTTGTCAGAGGTCCCTTTAGATTCCCCTGAAAAAAGGGGAGTCCATAAGTTTTGGACCTTAGGGCATCTTTAAAATCGACCCTCAAACCTCCTGCAAGCATTTCGATTGAGATGTCCGGACGCAGTTTGTCATCCAGCGCTGTCCCACATCTGTCCGCTTGTCTATTTTCCTAGAAATCAAAAGCAAACTAGGGGTCTTTGTGGGGGTCCGGACCGCCGCCACGTAGGACACCGACAACCCCGCCCAGACCCTGCTTCTCCATCCTTCCCTCCTTTTCTCTATCCGCTTTCTCCCCGCTGACGCCACTGCTCTACCACCCCGATCGCCCGCCAAGCCCATACTGTACCTCTGTGACACTGTCGGCTCCCGCATCACTATCCGTGGACTGGTCTTGACCAGCCCGTGGACGGATACCGTGCCCGTTTTGGGGGGTCGGCGTTGGGGACGCCCTTAGCATGTACATTAGGAAAACAAGAGCGATTGTTATGCCTCATTTTCTCCCAAAATCAGTTGGCTGGCCATCAGGAGACGTGTATGATCGCACCACCCAAGCACATGTTGACACCATCGTCCTTCCTAGTCTCAACCCCTATGTAGCACCCCTTGTCACTCATCCCAACACCCATCGTCCTCCGCTCATGCAGCTGCATCGGCAGTTGGTCGTCTCCCCTCACGGCACCCAACGGCAACGGTTTGCAGCACCTTGGTGTTGCCTGTGTATTGCCGCCCTCGCAGCAATGATGCTGACAACGCCGTCTTGCAACTCCGGCTGCTGCTGCAAGGTGATGGCGGTGTCTGTTGCGTGTCGCCTGTCGCATCGGCTATCTTTGTTTTTCTATTTCTTCTTCGTTTTATCTTTTTGGTTGTGTGCATTCTCATATTGTGTCATTGTAGACAGTAGATGTAATTGCTAGCATCTTAATATTAATAGGTTGTTCTGTCTTTATTGAAAAATGTACGCGAGATACAATGCACTACACTTGAATGTATATGGCTCGGTTCTTTTGACCGATTTTCCCGGAATCTTGAAAATCCAACCCCTCCACAGAAATGTTTGAGGCGTTGGATTCTCAAGGCTCTGGCGGCACGGAGAGTGGACGATCTACTTGAGGCTGAGATGTTTCACCCCAGGACACAACTGCCGGCGGACGGTTTTCTCATGGTCGTGGTCAGCAGGCGCGTTGTGCGCCGACGACGATGCCGAGCCGTACGTAAATCAAGCATGCCCGATCCCATCGTTCCGAAGGGCTGACGGCACCGGTCTGTTCACACTCCCGACTCCTACGTCGTCCATCCATACGCTACGATGCGTGCACCTGTCCTGTCCCATTTATATAAGCCCAAAAGAAGTCAACCATGTTCCGATCTTCCTCCGTCCATTTTTTGTTGTTGAAATGATCTTTCCCCGTCGTAGAAAGAAAGAACCCGTCCAAGACAAGACAAGACACGCACAAGCACAACACGCAGAGGTAAACTCAATCAAACAAGGATAATAAGTCCAAAGGAAAAGTAAACAAAAGAGACGACCATTTCCCGTTCTGCGGCGCGCGGCAGAGTGTCAAAAGCTGCCGGTCTCCGTCCAGCTTGGCCTGCGCGCGTCGCAGCCAACCAACCAACCAACCAACGGTCGCGTGCGGATGGGCACCATCGCGCCGCACGTCGCGTGTGGGGGTGGCGGCTGCAGCCTCCGCACGCCGCAGCCATCCAATTCCAATCCCACATCTGAGATTATGCTCGTTGTATAACCCACATGTGATCGAGGTATTCTAATCTAATTGGTCAAATCAAAAAAAAAAATAGTCGTCTGTACTGTACTGTTTTGCTGTACGGGGCAAGCAGGCTACATGTACCCGTCGCCGTCGCGTACATGCCGGCCTCCGGGTCCAGGAGCAGCAGCACAACACACACATGTCCCTCTCCGGGGCCAGGCTTTATCTACTATCTTCTTCCTTGATTGTCCCTGCCCTCGACGCTCACCAGCTCTCTTATTGCGAGTCAGAGGCGGCCGAGCAAGGCCAAGCCAGAGCACCAGGCAGACAGACAGGCAGAGAGCCAGGGAGGAGCAATGGGGCGGAGGAGGCAGGCCCTCCATGGCGCCGCGCTCTCGCTGCTGCTGCTCGCGGCGGCCGCCCATGCTCAGCAGACCGATCCAGGCGACGGTAAGCAAGCTTGATCCCCTCTTTCTCCTGAACCCCAAAGCTCACGCGCGCTCGTTCCTCAACCCCGAACCATCTTGCTCGAATAGACCAGACCATCCACTTCTCTTGGCCTTGGCTCCTCTCTTCCATGAGAAATCCTTCCTGGGAGACCCCATTGCTTTTGTGTTTGCTGCCCGATTGATCAAAAACACCATGATTCGTCTCTGCCTCTGTGTTGGACAACCGCTGCTGAAGAAAGCAAAGCATGGGGGACGCTTCTTCTCCTGGTTAATTTCCCCTGGGGTATCACTTACATCATCTGCATGCTAGTAGACGATCTCTTCTGTCCCTGGACTCATCCATGAAACCAGCTCCTGCATGGCTCCGAAGAAACCAGCTCTCCTCCGTTCGATGGGGAAGTCAATGGAGGCACGTCGACGACTCTGTCTGATATTTCGGCGTTTGACTTTTCCCGCGTCGGCACGGAAAAGTCAAAAACCACGTCCAGTTTCATCTCGCCTCTCGACCGTCGGATGCGCGTGAGCCTGGCCCATCGGACGGCCGAGCAGCGGTTACCGACTGACTGGTGGGGTTACTCACCTACTTCTGCCTCGCAGCGGCGGCGCTGAACGCGGTGTTCGCCAAGCTCGGCCAGAAGGCGCTGTCGTCATGGAACATCAGCGGCGACCCCTGCACCGGCGCCGCCACGGACAACACCAACATCGACAACAACCCGCCCTTCAACCCGGCCATCAAGTGCGAGTGCTCCGGCGGCAACGCCTCCGTCTGCCGCGTCACCAGGCTGTAAGTGCCCTGGCGCTCCCTCTCCTGTGCCCCCGCGCACACAGGGTGTTCGACGAAACGCCACGGCTGACCGGACGCCTGTGAATGTGATGCAGGAAAATATACGCGCTGGATGCAGTCGGCCCCATACCCGAGGAGCTGCGGAACCTCACGGCCCTGACCAATTTGTATGGACTCTCAACTTTCATCACACGTCAAATGATTTCATGGGCATAGGCATATTAGCAGCTTATTTGAAGCATGGAATGGCTCGCTTTGGTTTTTCTGTATAATATATTCCAGTCTCACACCAAATTCAATTGTTTCTGTATCTGCTCCAATGTTGTTTCAGGGATCTATCGCAAAACTACTTAACAGGGCCTTTACCATCGTTCATCGGGGAGCTGACTCGTATGCAGTACATGTGAGATTTTCAGAACGTTAATCCTGATTTAATGAGATCAATAAAGGTAGTATTACTTTGCAATGTTTTCATTTGATCTCACATTTTCTCCTTTGAACATATAAGGTCTTTTGGCATCAATGCGTTATCTGGACCTTTGCCAAAAGAGCTCGGGAACCTTACGGATCTTGTCTCACTGTAAGAAATACTTTTTTTTCATTATTTTTATGACTGTGTTTATCATGCAACTTTATTGTGTTTTAGTTATAAAACTATAAATACAAGTTGTTTGTGCAAAAAAAAATCGTGAGATGAAGAGCCATTAAATTGAGAATATATGCCAACAACCTCAAGTTTCCGAGATTCAATAAAGAACTCCAAAATTGTTAGTGAAAGTACATATCACATCTTAATTTGTTCTAGTATTCTTGTATTAAGGACTTGAGGAAATCACACAAAAAAAATTGGACTCTTTTTCATCTTAGATCAATCAAATAACTACCTGTACTGAACTAATCTAGAATCCCTTTTATTTTAGTAATCCATGGAGTTAAACTCGGTTTGAAGGGGGCTATGCTGATAGCATTCGTGCCTCCTAGAATATAAATTGCAAGTTGTCAATTTTGCATGTCTAACTTGTAATTTTTTATGTATTTGCAGGAGCGTTAGCTCAAACAATTTCAGTGGCTCGCTTCCTTCGGAATTGGGGAACCTGGCCAAACTTGAGCAATTGTATGTACTCCCTCCGTCCGCGAATAAGTGTACATCTAGCTTTTGTTCTAAGTCAAAGTTTTAAAATTTTGACCAATTTTCTAAAAAATAGTAGTAACATATATGACATCAAATTGATATATTATCAGAGTACATTTCATGATGAATCTAGTGATACTAATTTGAAGTCATCAATGCTTTTACTTTTTCCTAGAAAGGTGGTCAAAGTTTTAAATCTTTGACTTAAAACAAAAGCTAGAAGTACACTTATTCGCGGACGGAGGGAGTATTTAATACCGAAGACCCCATTTTCCTTCAAGCGTTTTTTCGCTTGGACTAGTTAGCTCCATGTCTAACGTGTATTGTTTTTGTATCTCTCAATTACAGGTACATAGACAGTGCTGGCTTTAGTGGTCCACTACCATCATCACTTTCCAAGCTTACAAAAATGAAAACATTGTATGGCTATAATTGACGGATTGTCGCTATTAATGCTTTACATGATTCAGCCTCATGAAAATATTGTTTTCTCTTTGCTTAGGTGGGCATCAGATAATGATTTTACTGGGCAAATACCAGATTATATTGGGAGCTGGAATCTAACAGATTTGTAAGATCGCCATTGATCTCCGTCATAGTAATTCTTTGTTTAGACTAAGTATTAAAAGCCATCCAAATATTTTGCTTACATGGTTTCAAGAACATTTTTATCTGGGAAGTTTAAAGGGATATTTGTACAATTTTCTGTAGTTATCTACAAGTCAAGTGTTAGTTTGTTCAAAACATAAATATGTGATGGTACACTATGATCTGTGCCAGGGATAGCATTTTTTTCTAGAGTGTTTTTTTACCCTGCTGAATCTCCATCTGAGGCCTCTTAAGAAACAGCTCATTTAAAGTCAGATGTTAGATTAGTATGGATAAACATTACATATTCCTTCCCACTAAATGTTTAATTGTGATGGTTGTTAATTTCGGATCAGGTGATGGTATCAGTAAGCATTGATTCACTTTACAAGACCAGTCTTTTCTTCAGAAATCACCTGTACCTAAATAAATTTACTTTCTTTAGATTTACCATAGAATAGAGACCTCCCTTCTTTCACTACTAGGCTACTGCATCCATGAAGAAATGATGCTTTATATTTTATTTATTTATTTATCATTATGGGAAAGATAGCAATTTCATTTCAGAGTAACAATCAAGTCATTACAGTCCTGTTGCACCAACACAGCTAGATCAAGGGGAAGTTGATTTTTCCAAAGAACATCCCTTCCAACGATCCTAGAGAATTTTGCTATTACATGAACAACCTTATTACTATCTCTGCCAATCTTACACACCTGCATATGAAGAAACGATGCTTTATATGAATAACTGGAACTATGGAACTGTAGGAGGTTTCAGGGAAATTCGTTTCAAGGTCCGCTCCCAGCAACTCTGTCCAATCTTGTCCAACTGACAAACTTGTAAGTGCCTATTTCTGTGATAATAGCCAAGTATCATTCTTAAAAATATCAAAGTAGCGGCAGGACAAATAAAAATTCGATTTCTATGGTGCAGACGAATCGGTGATATACTAAACGGAAGTTCTTCTTCGCTGGCATTCATCAGTAACATGACATCTTTGAACTCCCTGTATGCTTAATTTGTGATGCACTAAATGCCTCAAACTACAGTCCGATTTTGATGTAATTCACCAAGTTGTTCTGTACTAAAACATATAATATGTTTCGCTGCAGGGTTTTGAGGAACTGTAGGATATCTGATACACTTTTATCAGTAAACTTTTCGAAGTTCACGAGTTTAAACTTATTGTAAGCATTTTATTTGACTGAAAAATACAGCCAAGTGTCATTTGTGTGATACATTAATGCAGAGCTATAAATTATACATTTGTTATTGACATCCTCCCCTTATCCTTCTTTTTTGTTATAGGGATTTGAGTTTTAACAATATAACAGGCCAAGTACCACAAACCTTGTTGAATCTGAATTCACTCGGCTTCTTGTATGGACTATCTTAACTTGCAATGCATATTTCTTTGAAAGGAAAACTTTCATCATTCATCTTGCTAATGTTTGTAAATTCTTTTGTGACAGATTTCTTGGAAACAATAGCCTTTCGGGAAGCCTTCCAAGCTCAGTAGGACCTATGCTTAAAAATTTGTATGTCAATGTGGTTCAAGCATATATGCACAATAAAAGCAGGGAGGTGTTTATTTGATTTTTAATGCTGCTTTCACTTTTAATTTTCTGCAGAGATTTTTCTTACAACCAGCTCACAGGAAATGTTCCTTCTTGGGGAAATTCGCAACTGTAAGTTCTATGTTCTGAAACTTCTACTAACTTGCCGGACCAAATCCAGCCCAACAGGGCCTGTTTAGCTTAGCTTAGGCTCATGAGCTGACTTTTAGGCTTGTAGTGTACGGAAATAAGCTAGCATCATATATATTTGATGAATCTGAAAAAACGAGAGGATATTTTGGTACTTCAATCTTACAAGCATTATAAGATTATTTGAAATGCCTATGTTCCTTCATTTGTGAAGTGAGACTTATTAACCTTATACAGCCTAGCATGCAATGAAGCCAAAAAAAAATTGAACATATTGTTTGTCCCTTATTATTTAAGCTATATCTAACAACCAAGCCAATTATTTATTCCTTATTATTTAATCTATATCTAACAATCAATAGGAATATGATATGAAGTATGAACAATCCTTTCTAATTTTTGCCTATTGTTCATTTTACTTAGGAATTTGGTGGCAAATAATTTCGGGGCCGATATATCAAGTAACAGGTTCGTTCATATTATGATACCCACCTCAAGTAAATTATTATGTTCTCTCAGCTTGAATTTTGGATTCAAAATGTTGATTGTTTGCATTTGCAGTGGCTTACCTACGGGGTTGGACTGCCTTCAGCGAAATACACCTTGCTTTTTTGGATCTCCTAAATGTGAGATTTCTGCCTTTTGCAATTTTAAGTCTATGCATACTTGAGGAACTATATACCTGCAACCGCAGTTTTACTAAATGCATACCAGTATTAAATAATTTAACCTGCTTGCAGCTTCTTCATTTGCTGTGGACTGTGGTAGTGATCGACCCATATCAGGCTCAGATAATTCTCTGTATCAACCTGATGCTGCCACTCTTGGAGCTGCATCATATTATGTTACAGGAGAACCCACGTGGGGTGCTAGCAACGTTGGAAGATTCATGGATGCGTCAAACGGAAGTTCTATAATCTACAGCTCACACCAGTTTCTGAATACACTTGATACAGAACTGTTCCGGAATGCAAGGATGTCGCCATCATCCTTGAGATACTATGGTATTGGCCTTGAAAATGGAAACTACACAGTTACGCTTCAATTTGCAGAGTTTGCCTTCCCAGATGCTCAGTCCTGGAAGAGCAGAGGTAGAAGGGTTTTTGATATATATGCCCAGGTAGGTTCTCGCTGATAAATGATAAACAATACTCTTTTTTTTTCGAATGTTGAATGATAAACAATACTCTTAGCTTATAACCCAGTCATATTTTTCTTCTTGTTATTGGTATAGGGTGAGCGTAAGGAGCAGAACTTTGACATAAGAAAGGTGGCAGGCGGAAAATCTTACACTGCTGTTAGGAAGCAGTACACAGTTCCTGTCACCAAGAACTTTCTTGAGATTCATCTCTTCTGGGCCGGCAAGGGCACTTGCTGCATTCCTGATCAAGGCTACTACGGGCCTGCAATATCAGCTTTGAGTGCAACACCAAGTACTCCCCTTAACTTGAAATAATTGTTTTCATACCATCTACCATATATTCTCCAGGTTAATTTGGATAGATCGATTTTAAATTATGCTGAATGCAATCCTGTGCAGCTTGAAATAAAAGCAAACACAGATATACCAGAGCATCAATATGAAACTGAGGGTTGATCTGTATGTATTTCATTTAGCCCTTGTTGTACTCGTAGCTGTTATAGAAGTTCTCATCATTCTATTTTCAGTACCATGGAAAGTGAAAACACATCTAGTTAGGCTTTGTTCAAACTAAAGCATTTGGACAATGTTCTTCGAATTAAATGGGAAGTTGGATAGAAATATCAAATCTCTCTATTGTCTCTACTGTATTAATATTGCTTAAATATGCTAAACAAACTACTCAGGAATCAAATATTTACAAGAGAACTAGTAAATCAAATATGCTAAACAAACTACTCAGGAATACTAGGTATGGGGATAGATTTCTGTAAATAAAGTTTGAAATACCTAATACATGTATAACCTGACATTAAGAATATTCCAACCAGTTTACGCATAGCCCAACTTTCATTTAACCTCACTTGAAATATACTGATTCTGTAGACATTACGTTTTTCTAACAAGTGAACTTTCTGTCAGATTTCACCCCTACAGTGCGTAGTGCTGTAGCAAAGAAGAATGATAGTAAAACAGGTGTGATTGCGGGAGTTGTAGTTGGTATAGCAGTTTTAGGATTGGTAGTGCTTGCCGGAATCTTTCTTTGGAGGCGGAGACAGAAAAGGAGAAAACTATCGTTGGAGCAAGAAGGTATGGGATACACTAGGACCAATTTGTATTCTAACTGAGCAAAGGATTAGTTTAAGTAAGTTTGTTATATCTTTCTGTGATGTCTTGCAGAGCTGTACAGTATTGTGGGAAGACCTAATGTCCTCAGTTATGGTGAACTGAGGTCAGCTACTGATAATTTCAGTCCTAATAACCTTCTTGGTCAAGGAGGATATGGGTCGGTCTATAAGGTTGGTTCATCCCGTACATACAGCCTTGAATTTTCTTGAAAGTTTTCTTTCTGAAAGTAACTAAAGCTAGTAGTACAAGTAAACATCAGAAGACAGACCTGTTTATCTGAGTTATTTTATGTATTTTTAGTATCTGCACATACATATTGATAACATTTCTAAAATGGAGGAGGAATTTATTTCAGTGTATCTGGAGAAAATGATGTTTGACAGTGCGGTACCTAAAACTTTCATTGTTGAAAACTGCCTCTTTTCGCAGGGAAAGTTAACTGATGGTAGGTTCGTGGCAGTGAAGCAGCTATCTGAAGCATCTCATCAGGGAAAAAAGGAGTTTGCAACGGAAATAGAAACTATATCTCGAGTGCAACACCGTAATCTGGTTAAGTTGTATGGTTGCTGCCTTGAGGGCAATAAGCCACTGCTGGTTTATGAGTACCTGGAGAATGGAAGCCTGGACCATGCTCTGTTTGGTAAAACTTCTGATTGATGGATCTAAATATATGCAGATTCAAGCTTAATTAGTATAAACAACTGAAAACTTAAACCTATATTTGCAGGCAAAGGGAAGTCAAGCCTAGACTGGCCAACACGTTTTGAGATATGCTTAGGCGTTGCAAGAGGTCTGTCCTATCTTCATGAAGAATCTAGCATCCGTGTTGTGCACAGGGACATAAAGGCCAGCAATATCTTACTTGATGCCAATCTCAATCCTAAGATCTCGGATTTCGGGCTCGCCAAACTTTATGATGACCAGAAGACACACGTCAGCACCAAAGTTGCTGGTACATTGTAAGTGCATTTCCACCTTGCCAACCTCTATGTCTACGAAGTGTTTTCGCATGTATGCTGATAGCGGTCGATATTGTCTCCTTGAAGTGGTTATCTCGCACCTGAGTATGCCATGAGAGGCCATATGACAGAGAAGATCGACGTGTTTGCATTCGGCGTCGTGGTATTGGAGACTTTAGCTGGGAGACCAAACTACAGCACGGAGGATGAGAACAAGGTCTATATTTTCGAATGGGTAAGCTCGCCGAGGAACTCTACGCGCTAGAGGTCTCCTGCAACAAGTAAAAAAAAGGGTAAACTGGTTTCCTGAATAAAACATCGCCTCAATGTTTTCAGGTGTGGGAACTGTACGAGAACAACCACCCGTTGGATATGGTGGACCAGAGGCTGGAAGAGTTCGACAGCGAAGAGGCGCTCCGGGCCATCAAGGTGGCGCTGCTCTGCACCCAGGGCTCGCCCCACCAGCGTCCCTCCATGTCGAGGGTGGTGGCGATGCTGACGGGCGACGTCGAGGCGCCCGACGTGGTGACCAAGCCGAGCTACATCACCGAGTGGCAGATCACGGGGGGCAACACCACCTACATGAGCACCGACGTCAGCGGGCAGCCGAGCTCAGCGCCGAGGCCCAACTCGCCGTCGTCCCGCACCTCGTCGCCGTTCCTGAGCTCGGTCATCGACGAAGGCCGTTGATACAGTTCAATTCGACTTCCTGTGGTACAGATTTGCTGAGAGTGCATGCATCTCACGGATGGTGTCAATACAGGCAGTTTTTTGGTATTGAACTGTACAGTGGTGGTATGTAGGGTGAGTAGCAGGTAAAGTTGTATGTGTAGTACGTGTGTAGGCGAAGCTCTGAATTCTTTGGTCTCATTGGACGCGCGTACGATTTGCAATAATTTTGGCTTGGACCTTGACGTGGAGCCATCTCCAGTTCATCTCCAGTTCATGGCGGCGGTTGGCACACGAGTTCTCGTTCGATGCGTGCTACTCACTTCGTTGGGTAAAGAGTGTACATCTAGAGATTTTAGGATAAATTATGGAGTGAAATAAAAAAAACATTGAAAAGATGCAAGCCACCATCCCTCTCTTCTTTAATTACCCAACCCTCTTAATGAGCTAAGTGTGTGTAGAAATTAAGAAGATCATGTGTAGATTGTTATTGGTCTTAATTACCATGTGATAAGAGAGAAGTATTTTTTTTTACTTTAAACTGTATTGGGAAGATAGAAATACACTCTTTTATACACTCTTCGTTATTCGCGGTCCAAAAAAGCTATTCAAGGACTCGACAAGTGCAGAAGAGGATTCTTAT